TCTGTTCATGCTAGTGTTCTCTATTCATGCTAGTGTTTTCTATTCATCTGTCTGCCTGCCTCACTCACTCACTCTGTCTCTCTCTCTCCTCTCTGTGTCTCTCTCTACCATACAGTTATTCAGGTCTTAGATATTTTTAGAGGACTGAAGAGTATGAATCTAAAATGCAGAAAAGAGAGTAGCGCTAGCTATCTCAATTGAACCTGAATGACACTACCGGTAACATTGGCGTGTGTATATATTGCGATTTCTTCGGGCAGTAGAAGCTGCACTGTCAAAATTTTTTTAGGAACTTTCTAGTTATACATGAGCTTTAACAAAAGTCATTTTCTCCTTGTGTGGCCGCTGCAGTTTGATTGTTAATTAAGACTAGATATCTCTAATCTCTACTACCCCCCCCGGTGAACTGGGGCCATTCCCAGTTCACCCTCACTATACGTTTGGGCTTGCCGGGTCTTTCCAGCTGGCTCCCCCGCCATCTGATCCAACTCACCAGGTGGTGATCAGTTGACAGCTCTGCTCCTCTCTTCACCCGAGTGTCCAAGACATACGGCCGCAGATCAGATGATACGATTACAAAGTCGATCATAGATCTCCAGCCTAAGGTGTTCTGGTACACTTATGAGCCACCGTATGTTCGAACATGGTGTTCGTTATGGCCAAACCGTGGCTAGCACAGAAGTCCAATAACGAGACACCACTCGGGTTCAGATCGGGCAAACCGTTCCTCCCAATCACCGCTTGCCAGGTTTCTCCGTCATTGCCCACGTGAGCGTTGAAGTCCCCCAGGAGAACTATGGAGTCGGTCGGCAACAAGAAGGCCGGATACTCCGAACTCCTGTTTGGTGCATAAGCACAAACCACAGTCAGAGCCTTGCTCCCCGCAACCCGTAGGTGCATGGAGGCGACCCTCTCATTCTCCAGGGAGAACTCCAACACAGCGGCGCTCAGCCGGGGGCTCGTGAGTATCCCCACTCCCGCCCGGCGCCTCTCACCCTGGGCAACTCCAGAAAAGGACAAAGTCCAACCCCTCTCCAGGAGCTTGATTCCAGAGGCAGTGCTGTGTGTGGAGGTGAGTCCAACTATATCTAGCTGGTATCGCTCCACCTCCTGCACCAGCTCTGGCTCTTTCCCCGCTAGCGAGGTGACGTTCCACGTCCCTAGAGCTAGTGTATGCTGCCGGCGGCCCACCACCCGGTCTGCATTGCACCCGCCCCCGATGCTTGTCCCTGTGGGTGGTGGGTCCACAGGGTGGCTGCTCCATAATGTTTCTCGGGCTGAGCCCGACCGGGTCCCATGGGCGAAGGCCCGGCCACCAGACCTTCGCCGACGAGCCCCACCCCCCTGGCTCCGGGAGGGTGCCCCGGTTTCCCTGGTCCGGGCGAGGTGACTGAAGACCGTGGGCTGCAATTCATCAGGGTTATTTTGAACCGCTCTTAGTCTGGGCTCTCCCCTGAGACCTGTTTGCCTTGGGAGACCCTACCAGGGGCTACTGCCCAGGACAACATAGCTCCCAAGATCACTGAGCCACTCAAACTCCACCACGTTAAGGTGGAGATTCACGAAGGAGGCAGTCAAAGTAAAAGATTAAAAGTAATAGAGTAAAAAATAAAAATAAAAATTAAAGTATAAAAATGCACAATATATACAATGAAATAGAATAATATTAACTAACTAACTAACCAGTAGTGCAAAGATTAACCAAACAACTGACAAACAACAGTGTAGCGGAGTTATAGTTGTGTGAATGATTTGGCCAGAGGTGATTTATTGTACAGTCTTATTGCAGTAGGCAGGAATCTGTCCTTGTGACAGCGGAGCTGAATGAGAAAGTGCTCCGCTGTCCCTGCAGTAGGTGGTGGAGAGGGTGGTCCGGGTTATTCTTAACTAGTTTGTTAAGTCTGTTGGTGTCTCCGGCTCCAATGCTGCTCCCCCAGCAGACTACAGAAGTACAGTGCACTGGCCACAACAGACCGGTAGAACATCTCCAGCATCTTGCTGCACACGTTGAAGGATCGAAGTTTCCTCAAGAAAAAGAGTCGACTCATTCCCTTCTTGTACACAGCGTTGATGTTGGTCTATCAGTTCAGTCTGTTGTCGATGGAGACACCCAGGTACTTGTACTCCTCCACCATGTCCACATCCTCTCCCAGAACTCTCAGCGGTTGTGGAGCTGTCGTCTTCCTCCTGAAGTCGACCACCATCTCTCTGGTCTTGGCCACGTTCAGGTGATTTCTACCGGCCTACTCCACAAAGTCATCCACTACTGCCCTGTACTCCTCCTCCCGTCCGTCCCTTATACACCCGACCACTGCAGAGTCATCAGAGAACTTCTGCAGATGGCATGACCCCGAGTTGTCCTGGAAGTCAGTGGTGTTTGGGAGGTGTGGTGTGTGGAGGAGACAGATGAGGGCTGTGAACTAAACCTATTGAAGAAAATGTTTAGCTCGTTTGCCCTCTCCAGGGAGCCCCCTGGTTGTCTCCCTCCAATCTTGAAGCCAGTTATCTGCTTCATCCCGGTCCACACCTCCCTCACATTGTTCTGCTGGAGTTTGGCCTCTTGTAGGAGTCCTTGCACTCCCTGAGCTTTTCCTTCAGGTCGCGCTGTACTCTCCTGAGCTCGTCAAGGGGGGGAAGACCAGTATACTGTATGCATCCTTGGCATTAGCATACAGAAGGTCCAGAGTTTTATTGTTCCATGTGGGGCAGTCAACATATTGGTGAAAGGTTGGCAGGGCTTTATCCAGAGTGGTGTTGTTAAAGTCTCCAGTAATTGCCAAAAATGCACCAGGATGTTGACTCTGCAGTCTAGACACAGTGGAGTGGATGGTGTCCACTGCTGCCTCCGCGTCAGCTGATGGAGGAACGTACACAGCCACAACAATGGCGGATGAGAACTCCTTTGGCAAATAAGGACGCTACAGGACGTTCCTTCACACACACATGGCCGGGATTGCACCACCTCTCGTTCACATACATTGCAAACCACCTTTCTTCTTACCGCTCTGTATGTCTATGTCCATCCGAACAGTCCTGAGGCCGGGTAGGATCGCACTGTGGTCCGGGAAATGCGAGTGCAGCCATGTCTCCGTGAAACACATTAAGCTACACTCGCGGAACTCCCTCTGGGTCTTCACCAGCACGCCGAGCTCGTCCGTCTTATTTGCCAAAGACCTCACGTTCCCCATTAAGATCGCGGGTACCGAAGGTTTGTATTTCCTCCTCTTCGCCCTCCGCTCAGGGCCAGCTCTGCAACCCCGACGTCTTCTCCGCAGTTCCTCCGGGATTTCAGGCCTCGCGCCGGGCAGCAGCGGTTCACTGAGCGTGATCAGCTGATCACGGGAGTAGCAATGGCCCCAGTCCAATGTGCGTGGCTCTCCGTTACAAAGAGGGAGAAAAGTAACAGAAAAGCCACTGGAAGAGGTGTAAAAACAGTTAGTCCATTGCCTGACAACAAATGTAAACGCACACAAGGAGCTGCTAGCGCGCCGCCATCTTACACAGACTCGATATATAATACACAAGATTTCATGTCAACTAGGCGGTACACACTTTGCCCACACATCACTATGGCTGATATCATTAATAAGACCACTCACACAATTACACAACAACTACACTCTGCAACAGAATACACACAGACCTTGGCCTCACTTCCGTCCTGGTATCCAAGAAGAGGAGAGAATGTCCTGCTTTAATCCAGGTTCGATAGCTGCCTAAACACGGTTAGCGCTTTGCCTGTTATTGTCACATTGAATGAACACGTGCGATGCCATTCAGTGCATCAAAACGTTAGTTGTTCCATTATCTTAGCTAAACAATGAAAATTGAATCAAGAAAGTTGAGAGCTGGAAACTCACCTTCAAACTAAAAGTTGTGCGTTTTCAAACACATTGACTGTAGCGATCAAAGTAAGAAAGCCAAATTAAATAAAAAAATAAATAGCCTAAATAATGAATGTAATTTAACAGAATGTACATTAGACTACAGTATAGGCAGACTTTACAACACATTTACTTAACTGGATTTAAAATGCTAAAACAACCAGTCCCTGTATAGATGCTGTAGCTGTACGATGGATGAAGCCCTGTTTGGAACAGAACATGTTCACTCAGTAGTCTCTGATAAGAATTACATGTATTGTGCTTCTCAAAACAAACATGTTGGCCCTTTTTATAATGGAGCACATGAAAGCCACCTTGCCTGCATTAGACTCTGTTATGTAATAAATCTCACAAGGGAAGGCTGAAATTAGATACGAATAAGTCAACAAATATTGACTTTCGAGCGTAGGAATAGCAGAAATTCCAATAGATAGGAACAGAGAGGACGGCTCCTGGTGAATTCCTTCTATGCAGGATAATTCCACTGTTCATGCCTCAGAGCACAAGGGGGGTGTCAGGTCTGTAAGAGGAGGGCTCAACTTGTTATTGAGGAAGAGATCCAGTTGCAGAGGACAGCTGAGCACTAACACAGACAGACACAAACAGCTCTGCTCCTGATACAGCACTGAGGAAACACTTTGATTCTGCCACAGGTCTACCACCCTGAGAGGAATGGTGTGACTGATCATCAATGGTGAGTCCTTACTTCTTTCAAATAGAAAGTTTTATCCTAAGTTGCATGTTTGAATCAATCGTGTTAAAATTCACTGCACAACACGGTTGAGTTGTATCCTGCTGCCTCTGAGCCACAACAGTTATTATCCCGGATCAAGCCTTAAAACCAAAAAGTAATTTTATTTTGTTTTAAATTCGGGGGTTCTTTTGCATTGTGAGATATTGAAACCAGCTTTGCAGAAACAGAGTAGACGCAAAGAGAGCTTTGCTTTCGTTGGCTGTCAGAGTGACTCAGCGTTTTTCTTCAAGAAGTACGTATGGCTCTCTTCTCCTGGTAGCTACAGGCCTCAGGGTTACCGACCAATGAGAGAAGCTGCAGAAGGCCTTTAGGCTCAGACAATTTCAATTTTAAATACAGTGAAGCTGTTGTTGTTCTCCTCTGGTGTTTGTGAATGCAAACATAAAAGTTGAGAAAACTCAATATTTCAATGCAACTTTAAACATGTTTTGGAGTTTTTAGTTCCAAAACGAACTAACTAACTAGCTGTTATATGATAATGGCAATGTTAGATGACCATCTATCTGTTCATATGAGTGGAGTGTGAACGCGTTTTATTTCCAGCCTGAATGAATGAATGGCTGAGAGGTTTGTATTCACGAGTACATTGTTTGCATCTTGTAATAAATATTGATATTGACATGTTCTTGATCACTTTGTGTTTTGTCTATTTGCCTTTTCTGTTGAGAAGATAACTGAGACTTTAGTGGGTTTTGAGGCACTGATGGCCTTTCAATGTCATTTATAAACGCTTCGTAAGGCAGAGATAGTCCTCACTTTAGATGAGTCACGCGCAACACTTAACAAACGCTTCGTAAGGCAGAGATAGTCCTCACTTTAGAAGAGTCACGCGCAACACTTAACAAACGCTTCGTAAGGCAGAGATAGTCCTCACTTTAGATGAGTCACGCGCAACACTTAACAAACGCTCCGTAAGGCAGAGATAGTCCTCACTTTAGATGAGTCACGCGCAACACTTAACAAACGCTTCGTAAGGCAGAGATAGTCCTCACTTTAGATGAGTCACGCGCAACACTTAACAAACGCTTCGTAAGGTGTAGTGACTGATTCCAGCTACTAGCCACTGGGCTGGGTGCGGGAGAAGATCCTGTTTCTTACTCGCTTCAACAAAGAGATTCCAGGCTCTTAATGATAGAACTTATGTTTCTGGTCCCCCTCTGGTGATCTCCCCGTCACCCATCATCAGCTGTCTGTTGCACCTGTGCCCTACATACCAATCACCTGCCACAATCATACCTGCAAACTTGTCGCTTTTCGGCGAAATTCGGTTTAACGTTAATGAGTGACCGCGTGAACTGAACCGGACCACGGGGGGCTGCATGTTTCATCATGCTACGTTTTTTCCTCCTAAATCGCGATAATGATGAACGTTAACAGTCGACAGAGTTCCGCATGCAGTGGACGTTAATTTAACCCAGCAAGTGTGAACGGTAACGGAACATAAACTGTAACGGAGGGAAATGAAGACGCTGTAGACATCTCAACGCTGATTGGCCAAGACTCGACACGTCACATCAAATATGTTCTATTGTGAAGATCACAATATTTTTCTTTTTTTTTTGCTGGCGGATTCGTCCACATAAAATGACGTGGCAGGCCGGATCAGTTCAGGGGTATTCAATTAAAATCCAGCGAGGTCCAGTTAGAAAGAATTTTCTCATCTTAAGTCTGATGATTTAGTTTCATATATATTGAAGTAGCCAACAGTTGTATTAACGTCTGTATGTCAACAACTGACTGTCAAACGCAAGAAAGTTCAATTGAATAATATCTCAACAATATGTATTTTCAGATTTCAAATTGAACTGGATGAATTATAAATAATACATAATATAATAATAAATACATGTTCTCTCATTTCATGTAAAATAAGGGATGAATTAAAAAAATACACAACAGAAAGCTTTTGAACAATGTGACTCTTAAAATAAAGTAATTCATTTTAGAAACATGTATTGAACTGAATTGTCCTTCAGCTTTAAATTCAGTTCATTCAGGTGTGAAGGGGTTTAACCCAAAAAGCCACTTCAAGGAAGGCTAAGTGTGCTTTTCTACTAACCGCCATGTTAACAGTAAAAAGGACATAATAAAGTCCTGTAAACTACGAGGGTGGGCAAGGTTCACTGTTACTGGTCTCCATGAGACCTGAGCATTGGATTCAAGCCATCACACACGACCACAAATACAATTTAAAATTTGGGACAGCCAAGCTACCATCGCTTTTACTTCTTTGCAGTGTCAACAATTTAATATGTGGTTGTTTACAACCCCATACTGAGAGCACATAAGATCAAGAAGCACTGAGCCTATAAATACATAAAGTGCAAAACAAGATATACGTATATATATATATATATATATATACATATATATATATATACATTGACAATAGTGTTGAGTCAGTGAGATGATCCTTTCTCAAGGGAACCTTAGTTATTATTTGGCAGAGATGCATCGTGATGGAACATAATGAAATAAGATAATTTTTTAATTATTAGATGGAGCTGATTTATACCGCGGCTATTTGTTTTGCATTTCATTTACAAAAGCTTTTACTTCATGACCGATAAATTCAGCCTTAAAAAGCTCACACACATCGTTATTTTGGGATCAGGGCTATTTTTCTGACAACAGCTATAATGTACAAAATCTGAAACGTAAAAATATATATTTTTCCCTACAGGAAGGTCAGTGCTGACCTGACCTGATATTGCTCTTTTTCTAGCCTGCAGGTATGTGGTGCTGAAGATCCGGGCTGCAGTAAGAGGGGAGGTGCAGCCAGGGAAAACAAGCACCTCGGCCTGTAACCAGGCAAAAGGTGGGTTTAGTACAAATGACTCAAGAGCCCAAATCAATGAGCCCCTCTGAGTCTGCTGCAGATGTTGCTGGTTTCATTTTACGAGGTTGGCGCTGCGTCACCAGAGCGATGTTGCAGCACAAAAAGCGGGGGGTGCACTTGATAACTTTGTCACAAGTTTGCAGCGGAGTGCTTGAACCTTGAATACAGGATTTTACGATGTATCCCCTCTGACCAATGTGGGTAACCATGACAGAATGGCCTGTCTGTAGTTACGCTGGCTGACCTCACAAGAAGTGGAACTGCAGAAGCAGACTAAGTAACTTCGCTGAACACTTTAGCCAATATATGAGATATTGCTGTCTTTTTAACAGTGAATGAAACTTGCAAGAAGTTGTCATAATAGCGTACGCTGGGGCCCGTCATAATAGCGTACACTGGGGCCCGTCATAGTAGCGTACATTGGGGCCCGTCATAATAGCGTACACTGGGGCCCGTTATAGTAGCGTACACCGGGGCCCGTCATAGTAGCGTACACTGGGGCCCGTTATAGTAGCGTACACTGGGGCCCGTCATAGTAGCGTACACCGGGGCCCGTTATAGTAGCGTACGCTGGGGCCCGTCATAGTAGCGTACACTGGGGCCCGTCATAATAGCGTACACCGGGGCCCGTCATAGTAGCGTACACCGGGGCCCGTTATAGTAGCGTACACTGGGGCCCGTTATAGTAGCGTACACTGGGGCCCGTTATAGTAGCGTACACTGGGGCCCGTCATAGTAGCGTACACTGGGGCCCGTCATAATAGCGTACACCGGGGCCCGTTATAGTAGCGTACACCGGGGCCCGTTACTATAAAATGAAGATCCTTTTAGGTTGTCGTGTAAAACACATCCGATGGTAAGTGGAGACTCACCTCTGTCTTTCTCTCTCTGCAGGAGAAATGGACGGCAGGAGAAGCGCTGATGGGTCAGCCTTGATTCCCCAACCAACACAGACAGTCGATGTCCTGCCGAAGGACGATTGTGGATCCTGAAAGTAAACTGAGAGCTGAGGGTAGTGTGGAAGGTCTATAATGAGGATACAAACACAACACACACACACACACACACACACACGCGGAGAAACAAACACACATCCTGGTGCTCTCCTTCTTCAAATATCAGCAATTCCACGTTGCTGATTTGTTTGAAATTCTTCTTGGCCAATAGATTTAAAGGTTCATTCATTGCACTGACATGCATATGTGTCTGTCTGTGTTCGTTCCAATATCTCACCACAAACACACAAACACTTCCATTCATAAGAAGCCAGACAAATAAAATCTGATCTGCATTGAACTCCACCTGCTTCCAGCTCTCGGTTTTCTTCCCGCTCGTCCTGCAGCCAGTGGAGAGCTCGTAGGCAGAGAGAATGAAAGCCTGATCACCAATTCCCCCCCGAGGAGCGGATCAGCCTGGATAAAAAGACTCTGTTGATCAAGTTGTGCCAAGTCATGTATTCATGTAAAACAAAGAGCATAGTTAATAAATAAAATAAAATATAAATAATTGCATATAAAAAATTGCTCAGATAAATAAACCTATTCTACAAAAAAATAGGAATACTGTTGTGTTCTCTGTGTGTTCCTCCTGGCTCTACAAGTGTTTTGTATCAGTATATATATATATATATATATATATATATATGTCTGTAGATATTAGATATTAGCTTCTGCTGACACTATTTCAAAGCCATCACATTAACGTTAGTGGCCTTTCACATGTGTGGATAACACCAGCCGTGCTGTCATCATCGTCTCCTGCTAAAGCGTTGTGCTGCTTTGAACAGTCATGATGAGCGACCACCACAGCGCTGGAGGGGACCAGCTGACCACCACAGCGCTGGAGGGGACCAGCTGACCACCAGCCTCTTAACTGATTAGGAACGCATGAAATAATAAATAAACAAGAAGTAGTGTGTACATATCCAAATTTAACAACATGAAAGTAATGATTTTTCTCTAACAATCTCCACAAGTAGGAGGTAAAAAGTATGAGGAATTAAAACTACCTTCACAAGTACAATTTAGTTCCTGAGTACATGGTACTTCAGTTTCACATCAGGAAGTTACAGGTCATCCAGGTTTTTATGTCCTTAAGACATGCTTGCAGTTTAGCGAGCTGGTTGGTTTCATCTGGTTTGATCGATATATATAATTGAGTATCATCTGCATAACAATGAAAGTTTATGGAGTGTTTTCTGATAATATTGCCTAAAGGAAGCATATATAAGGTGAATAAGATTGGTCCAAGCACAGACCCTTGTGGAACTCCATGACTAACGTTGGTCTTCATCGAGGCTTCATCGTTTACAAACTGAGATCGATCAGAGAAATAGGATTTAAACCAGTTCAGAGCGGTTCCTTTAATACCAATCAAATGTTCTAGTCTCTGCAACAGGATGTAATGGTCAATGGAGTTGAACGCAGCACTAAGGTCTAACAAGACAAGAACAGAGACGAGTCCTTTGTCTGATGCAATTAGAAGGTCAATAGTTATTTTTACCAGAGCTGTCTCTGTGATGCTTTATAAATCCCGACTGAAAGTCTTCAAATAAACTATTGTTATGTAGAAAGTCACACAACTGATTTGCGACTGCTTTGTCAAGGATCTTAGAGAGGAAGGGAAGGTTAGAGATCGGTCTATAGTTAGCCAACACCTCTGGATCAAGAGTGGGCTTCTTAAGAAGAGGTTTAATTACAGCTAATCTGAAGGACTGTGGTACTTGGCCTGTTAGTGAAGACAGGTTGATCATCTAGTAAAGAGGTGCTAGCTAACGGTTAAACTTCTCTAGTCAGCACACCAAGACACAATCCATGGACCTAGCTGTCCTGGACAGAGGTGGTGCGCTGTGCCCAAAAGAGAGCTTCAGCTGGGGATTCTCCGGAATCTCCTTTAATTCTCTCCAACGGCTACACAATCCTGTTGGATAAGGCTCCATCCCAGGAAGGTCCTCCATACGATGCTGAAGGTGGTCATAATAAGATCCTCAGGAGGCCTTCCCGGGGCGTCCTCGTCTCCTTACCCGTTCGCCTGCGCAGACGTAGATTACTCAAAATCCACCATCCTGTCCAAGCAGTCTGCATGCACCGTCTCCTCTTCCCGTCTTCCCCCCAATTACGCCGATCATTGGAGATTCCATAGCCGTAACATATAGTTCATAAACGTTCCCATTCACTGTATCCCAGGAGCCACTGTCCCCATCATCCTGGATAAACTCCAGAATGTACTGCACTCTCTCCTTAGAGAATTCTAGTTCATGTGGGGACGAAAGACTGTCAAGTCTCCACCTCCGTCCTCTAGTTCCTCACCCCTCAGCTCTCCCAACAGGACCAGTATAGCCATTCCTTTGACCATCATCTCCTGTCACAGACCCTCTGCAACACGCTCAACAGAACCCCACTGCTGCTAATCACAACACAACCCCGCTCTTTACCATATTCCTGTAAAACTTGGTGTATTTAATATTGGATCACTAAATTATGAATCATTTTGTTATGCTTTTACTACATTTTGTTGGTTCAGATTCACCAAAGTCACACACAAACAGACAAAGCGATGTTCTGAGAGGTCAGATGTTACTCTTCAATGGTATCTATAGCTTTGGCGAGAGCAGAGATAACTGCTTCAGTTCGCCATCGTAAACAGAGTGAACAGCGGTCTCACTGCAAGGTACAAATTGATATATCCACAATATACTTGAACTGGTATTGATGCGTTATGTGGACCTTTGTTTAGGGTGCTGGGACTCTGGGGCTGTCTATTCTTGGTAATACACCGACTATAGATCAGTGACTACCCCACTTCAAAGACCAGAACTATACCGTTAACTTAATCACACATTGTTTAGCTGACATGCATTGTACCTGCAATATTTCTACCACAAGATGACTTCAGCAGCATCCTACAGGCAGGACAGCAGGCTGTCACAGGTTCATGAAATGCAAGAATGTCTTGAGACTGACGTGAACACAAGCGCGCGCGCGCACACACACACACACACACACACGACGATATGTTCACCACATGTTGATTGGAGTCTTGCATGCGTTGCTTGAGATGCCTCTGCAGCAGCGTGTAGCCGTGGCAGAAACAGGGCTACAGGGATGTGTTGGACCCCGCTGCGTTGACGGACTGACCTCATTCACATGAAAGGCTGAAGGTCTGAAATGCGTTGGTCGTGTTGGACCACACTTCTTTAATGAGAACATGATCCATGCTAAACAGAGGTACACTTTACCACTCTTTACTTTGACTCTGACATTCGTCCTGTTTGCATCAGAAGGTCTTGAGTTTGACTGAAGTAATGAGACAATGTAGTACAGCTGTTGATGTTTCACCATTTTGTTTATTTTTTCCCCCTAAAATATAATTTATTTTGTTCGGTATCAAACTCAATCACACACTAACTGAAAAGTTGATTACATTGGACAAACAGCAATAGTAACTATTAAAACATTGAACCGCTCAATGAGGCAGAAAGTAACACTGATATCAGATGCAAGTACAAACACACAGCATCTCTCTCTGCAGCCCGTCAGCGCTAGAAGAAGTCTGCTGCTGACGGTCTGCGTTTAGGCGTACTCTTTGGAGTAGTGGTGCTGGTCCTGTTGGCCTTGAGGGTCTTTCTGGCGATGAGCGGTGTGGGCGGAGACTTCAAGACCCCAAACTTGGGTTTCTGTTTGGGGTCAAAGGGCACTCGCAACGCGCTGTCTGGATTCACAAGCAGGCTGCGATCAGTCTTCCGAAACTCTGCACCAGGACACGGGAAAGTAAATGTTACATCGTTACAAAAGCTGTTACAGCAAAACAAGAAGAAGAAGAGATTAACTGAACTTCAAAGGTGTTCAACAGCTCACTGTAGTGACTTTATATACTGCTGGGAGGTTCATCTATAATAATATTCATCTAGAAGTTCATTATCTTATAAATCTGAATCTGCAAAGTAACTAAAGCTGGCAGATAACTAGTGGAGTATATTATTTCTATACAAACCACTGCTTTCAATTCAACTAACTAACTAAACAGCCTTTTCTTATTTGATTCTGTGACTCTTTATGCTCTGGTCTTGTGAGTTTGGACTCTGTACATTTGTATTTAGCAACATTGTTTTGTCCAAAGAGCCATTTCTTACAATTGCAGAATGAACTGGAGATTCTGCTCCAAATACGTCCGTTAGGTTCTGACTAGTGATCTCATTTTAACATAGAAAACAACTTTGTTAACAGTTATAAATATCAGTGTCCCATCTCTTACCAGCCGTCTTGTTGTTCTTGAGGCCGAAGGTCACCTTCTTGGACAGTGATTTGGGACTTTGACTCTTCTGTGAAATACAAACAGAGAGAAGAAGTCACACACGGTTACATAATAATGGTTTTCATTTATTCTAGATAGAGATGAAAGGAGAGTAAATCTGATCAGCTTTTGGGTAGAACATCTGCTGTGGACTTTTCTTTAATCACATCATCGTACCTTCTTAGTTCTCTGTAGATTCTACACTTGCTCCAATGAACAGGCCGGTGAACTAAAGACTCAGCTGATAACATACTCAGGTTTGGATAAAGCTCTGGACCGAGGAGCAGATTTACATTCCAATACCTCGAAAATGTGCCGAGGAAAACCTGCTGACAGCATCATCTGATATGGTACATGGACTGTACTTGTACTTCTCTAGTCTTCTGACCACTCAAAGCTCTTTAACACTACAGGTCATCATTCACCCATCCCATCAGAACTATCCAACCATACAGACACCTAAGGCCCAGTATTCTGTCTCCCCAAGGACACATGGACTGATCTGACAAGTCCTCTACCACTGAGCCAGACACTAGCTCACCGCACAAAACACATGAAGGAATAACACCCAGAGCGGATGTTGACACGGTCTTCCTCCGTCTGCCATCATGCTCAACACATGTATCTACCAAAACACTATCGACGTCACAGAAACCTTTATAGTGGGTGAGAGCTGTGTGTGTGTGTGTGTGTGTCCATCCTCACACAGCTGGGCAAACAGTCTCTTGTTCCATCCACACCAACACGTTTCTGTTTAGAGCCAGAGTTTAGAACTAAAACGATCTCCGTCCACACACACAGCTTCAGCACCGCTTTCTGCATGAATTCTGTCCATTCAAACACGCCTGAACACCAATATCACGTGTTACAACACGTAGTGCAATTATAATAAATCTAATTTTAACAACCACTGCTCCAAAGCAATGGAAACACAATACTGTGTGTGTGTGTGTGTGCGCACAGAGTGGCTCAGCAGCATTATTGCCTTTATAGTGTTTTTGAATGACTTAGTTTATCCTAATTAACAAAGCTACAGGACACCTCATTGACCCCCTGGTGGCCGGCCATAAGCCCCGCCCCCTGAGTACGTTTCTGGTTTAACTAGTTGTTCAAGGCTGACAGAGGAGTTGTGATGTCACGATTGACAGCTGCTCTGAGAGAAGTAGCTGAATGCTAGTGCAGCAGCTAGGTGGCTCACGCTAACGCGCTGTGGCCGGGCTCGGGCGGTTGACCTAAATACCACGATCCACGGGCAGCGTCTGTCCCAGATGACCAGAGGGCCACTAGGGTTACGTTGGCGTCCCTTCTGTAGCGTGGGAGGAAGTGGAGACGTGTCGTCCGGTCTACGGACGTTACCGTTGCTTAGCTCCATCTGTGACCTCAGTATCAATGACACAATACTGGAACTTCTGACTTTCAGTTTGAGTACCTTGAAAAATATCAATATTTGATGCCACAAGGAAACTTTGACACAACATTGAGGGCATGAGGTCTGCATCTGCCATCTTTAATGAGCGAACACCATAAAACCTGCAGATGATTAACTTTCACACGACCGACAGGTTTGTTAAAGCATTTCTTTGGTGCTCAGTTCTGACTGTTCTTTACGTTCACCTTCTTGCTGGACAGCGGGGTGCTGGGGCTCCTCTTGGTTCTGCAGAAGAGCGGTGTTGGGACTGTGGCGTTGCTCTGAAAGGTGACGAAGTCAGACGCCGAGCCGGAGGAAGTCTTTGCCTTCTTTTGGGACTTTTTAGTGCGAAGAGGAGTGGAGGACTCTCCAACGTCCTGAAAGGGAAAATTAATTTACAGGTGAGTTATGTCTCAATGTTATCAGATAGCCTGAACCCTTTAACCTTATTAAACACTCACACTGTCTGGTTTGGACTTCTGGGTCACGGTATCTTCTTCTGGAGCCCCGTTGATCTCTGCAGCCTCCAGCTCATCGGCCTCGTACTCAAAGACCACGGGGATCTTCCTCTTCTTCTTCCTCGGTTTCCCGGCGGAAGAGACCACTTCAGTTTCACCCGATGTGAGCTCTGCGTCAACGATGCAAACCACCTGCAGCTGGCTTTTATCCGTTACGTCCACTTGGGCTGCTGCCAGCTTCTTTCTCTTAGCTGGTGCTGTCTTGGTGATCTTAAACGGCAGCTTCTCAGCATCCACAGCCGCTGCTTCCTCTTCCTCTGAAGTCTGACACTCTTTCAGGTTCTTCTTCTTCAGTTGGATTTCAGTGTTTCCATCAAGTGATGCAGCCTCTTGCTTGCCTTTCTTCTTCTTCTTTGTAAGTGGCGCTGTGGTGGCATCTTGTGACGCTTCCTCGACAACTGATCTGACTTCAGCGTTTGTGTGTTTTCCCTCTTCCTCAACCTTTGGTCCTTTATCAGCCTTGAGCTTCTTTTTCTTCCTCTTCTTATCACATGGGGTGATGGAATCAGTTGGCTTCTCAAGTCCAGCGGTTGGGTCACCTCCCTCTGACTCCTCATAAGGTGTGCTCACACCACTCACCTGCACCTCCTTGAGGTTCTTCTGAGCTGTTGGGCCCTTCTTCTTCTGCTGCTGCTTGGCAGGTGTTGGACAATCACTTTCAGATGTGGTTGCAGTGTTTTTTTCTGCCGACTCCTCAAAAATTACTGGAATGATCTCTGCTTCTGCATTGACCTGCAGTTTGGTCACAATCTCCTCCGTCTGTACCTTCACCTTCAGGCCCTTCTTCTTCTTCTTCCCTGAGACTGCTTCATTTGGCTCTGTTCCAACAGGAGCCTGCTGCTCCTCTGCTGCCTCCGTCACCTCAGAAGTCTGCCTCGTTCTGGTCTCTACAGATTGGTGCATGTTGTCACTGGTGCAGTCAGTGGCTTGGCTGCTTTCTTCAGTGACAGGAACTGGAGGCTGTTCCTTTACTTCAGAGAGGAGCAGAGCTTCTGACTGGCTCTCTGGAGTCTTTGCCTCCGTCACTTTTACAGATGTGAGGGAGCTGTGCGTCTGTGCTTCCTTTTCCAAATCTCCTTTCTGTGAACACTCCAGACCTCCTCCAGTCTCTCTAGTCGTACTTTGAGCCACAGTCTGTTCCTGTCCAGATCCGTCTACACCTCCATCCTGCAGGGCTTTCTTCTTCTTCTTCTTGTTCTTCCTCTTTTTCTTTTTCTTTTCATTTGCAGTTAGATCAGCTGGTTCACCGTCATCTTTCACCGAGTCCTTGCTTTGCTTGTCGGGTGTGGAAGCCTCCTTCTTTCCCCCTGAAGGAGCAGAGACACAGATCAAATATGTGTCATTACATGAAGAGCTTTGCAAGGAGACTAAATGTAGTTCTCCAGTTATGATAAACAGACTCGGGACAAGATGTAGGACATTTAACAGTCACAGGCAGCGCTATGTTCAGGTATGGTTGTCATTTAACCTGTGGTGATAATTAGATTTGGTCAGTTTAATGAGGCAAGCATCCCTCCTGAAGTGATGAGTGACCCGGTAGTAGTGATGTGTGCTTCCGTGTCGAGGCTTCGAAGCGCGTGTCGAGTAATCCAGGGAGATTTTAGTGAAGCGCGTATGGAGGCTTGTGTTGATGACGTATGTGGTGACGTTCGTCCATACCACGTGACTGATTCAGGGAATGGTTCACGGGTTTGGCGTGCGATTGGAAATATAAGAGGCAGCGAAACGCAACAGATCCCTCCTCATATCTTGTGGACTTGGGACTTTATTGCACGTTTGTTTGCAAACTATTCGAGCATCACAATCATTCATTCATTCAATTCAAAGCGTCAAACACCAAAGCCATGGTGTCATTATAATCACTCTGCCTGTTTTACATGTATTGTCCACTTGATGGCGCAGTAGAGCAGATGAAGCTTCGGCCCATGAGTGAACCAGTTGGATGGAAAGCTTCATGAAGCTTCATCTCGCCATCACTACCCGGTGGTGTCTCCTCAGAATCAAGAGCCCGACATTAAATGGCATGAAATGACCGCTGAGACATAAGACACATGCAGGCCCATCTTATTCAATGCTGCAACTGAAGCAAACCACCTGTTCGTTCTGAATGTCCGAATGCTCCGAGGGTCTCTAGTTTGTGCTCGTTGGGTTTCATCAGGCTGTGTTTATCCTCGAGGTCACAACAGGTTTCATCTCTTCTTTAAATGGTCTCACTGTGTGAACTAACAGCATCACAAATGAATATCATTGAGCTCATTGGATCCTCAAGATTTATGCAACGTCAACACTGTTCACATTCAAATACAACACAAAACAACACCTGCATACTGCAGACAGAAAACTGCTTTGAAAGAACGAGATGTTAAATGAACAGTGAAAACTCATCATAGCTTAATTTAACATCAGTATTCATAATTACACTTCATGTTTACTTCTCCTGATCTTTACCTCCTATAACAAGGTCCATAGGGGCATCTCAATAAATACACGTTATATTTATACTGATGATGATTATTATTATTATTATATGATATATATATTATTATACTGAATATTATTATATGATATATATATATTATTATATTATACTGAATTACCTGTGAGGGTGACAACAATAAGAAAGTTTGTCAAAGTGTTATTTACTGCTTTTTTTCATGTTGGAATAAATGTTAACTATTTAACTGTAAAGTAGTAATACGTGTTTGATATCTTAATGTTTCTGCATTAAATCATTCTGGGATGTTTGCTGACATTGATTGGATGTGGCACAGCCCTACAGAGAACATGTTCCACTGCTCGTTTGATTCACTGCCCTCGTCGGTTATCAGAGATCCATAAATTCAACAGCAGATTTAAAATGTTGCAGAGGCAGGAGGTGAATGTGCTAACATGGGATACCTTTCATTTTCTTGGCTCCTGGCACCCTCTCATCGTTCTCCATGCGACCTCTCTTGATCCTCTTCCTGCTGCCAAACATGTCGTCATCCTCATCTGTGGAGACCTCCTCTGGATACTCATCCTGAGGGAAGATGCCTGAGAGGAGACAGGACGAGGTCAACAATCAAGAACAATTCAGTTTTCATAAATATTAAAGCGAGTGTGATCATCAACTCTTACCTTCATTCAGATCACGCAGTCTGCCATTCAACACACCAGGGTGAGAGAAGAAGAAGGAAACATTGATGAGTTCAGATTGAGGCAGAGATCATTCATGGTTGATCAGTGGATCATCCTGGTTACACAGCGCTGTCTGGCACGAGTAACAACATCAGCAGGAAACACTTTCGCCATTTGGTAGAGCTAACAGACATGTCTATGGCTCTACCTGGTGGACATTATAATCTGTGTCTTCTGAGTAACCTGTCCACTAACTCTCCTGTAACCGAGTCCATTTAGGTGACATTGTTCAGTCTGGTCACCTAACCGGTTGACTCTGGTAGCCAGATAAAGGTTGGCAGGGAGCCACTCACAGCAGCTCAGATGGTCAGCCCTTCCTTGGCTGAGTGCATTGCAGCAGTGTTGCCTAAAGATGAGATCGGTACTACTGGGAGGATGGGATGCTCATGTGGGCTCCTTCAGCTGATAACCAGAACCTATTACAGCACACTGAAGCATTCCATCTGGCCTGGTTGGAGAAGTGATATTTCTAAACATGGCCACTCTTGCCATGCACAACAGTTGGTTGGAAACCAAACCAAGCGATGCCTCAAGCTCCGCTTCATGCCATACCTGGAATGGGGGAGCCATTTGAGAGACTCATCAACTGTGTAGGTCCGTTGCCCAAGTTAGAATCTGGTTACCAGTATCTCCTGACGTTGTGTGCGCAGCCACTGGATACCCTGAGGTAATTCTACCACCTTCTGTCAAAGCTAACATGGTAGTGAAGGGATTGGTGAAACTCTGTACCACCTTCGGTTCGCCATTTCATTCAACCAGACCATGGTGCTAACGTTATGTCCCAAGTGTTTGCTGTAAAGCATCAGATCTCTGGTGCCTATAGCCAGAGCCAGGGGTGCTAAAGCACTTCCACCAATCCCTCGAGTCTGTGGTACTGATGAGCTGTCGGCCTAGAACGCTCACTTTGACAAGAATGTTGTGGAACAAAGTTTTCAATCTGGAGCCTCTGTGCTGGCTCTCCTTCCCATCTCTGGTTTAGAACTGCAATCGGAGTTTGCAGTTCCTTATGTGGTGAAGTGTAGTGTCACAGCATCTACTCACACTCTGGTGATCTTGTAGAGTCTCTGTCTGTTCCTGCTGGGTGTGCTGCTCCGACTGGCTAACTCAAACAGCTTGTCTGCCAGGGCGGCATAGTTGAACTGAAAAACATAAATACTCAGAAATCAAAACCAATTCATCACCATTTTAAACGTCCAGCATCTAAGTCACACTCATGAATATTTGTTCAAATTATTTCTTCTTGAACAGAAAAAGCTTGCATGATAAACTTTGACTGATCCACAAAACAGAAAGTCAGATCCTGGGAATGAATGACTTCCAATAATCAACCCTTTCAGGCAATTCCCCTTAATCTCTTTGCACATTTAATAAATAGAAGACTTTGCATTTCTACAAGACATTTTCAAAACCATACCAGTTTTCACATTGGTTTTCTTCCCTCAGCTAATGTGAACAAGCTGAAAACTGCTGTTTGCATCCTTCACACGGGGTTTCTGCCGTTCAAGTTTAGACTTTTTTTTAATTGATTTTCCATTAAACCCGCCGTACATTTGTTTGCAGCATATATTAGAAATGTATACAAGCACGGGACAGCGGCATCATTCAAATGATTACAGCTGTTAAAGGTACCTTCCCAAACTCCCTGCACCCAACCTCTAGTAAAGTTAGGATGCCCTGTTCCTCCCTGTTCCTCCCAGAAGAGGAAGCTACGACTGCAGAAGCTTTGTCTTTACAGGAGCGAGTTTCAGGGGCAAGATTTAAATTAGGCACATATAGGACTGGGGGGGGGGGGGGGGTTTCTCTTTGAAACATTTAGTATTGATACTAAAATGTGCCAAGTTTGGGACAGGACCAGAACTTATGCAAGTGATCTGCTGGTTGACGCTCACTGAGAGGGCATGGAAGGTCTACGTTGTACCACTCTTGCCTCGGCCAAAACAATCTGGAGTTGTGTCAAGCTCTGCCTAGCACCAGGGGAAGAGGTATGCATCAAGTCAAGCACAGCTCTCCATGGATCCTCGAGCAATTCCTCACCAATGTGGCTCTCCCAAAGTCTCCTCACGTCTTGCAGTGAAGGATGATGTCACACACATTGTTAAAGAGAACGGAAATTACACCTTTGCAGATATATATCAAGAGGAACTGGAAAGGCAGCAATGCTTTTCTGGACAAAATGTCTATTCTGGATACATCGAAAACACTGACTATAGTTAATCGAAAAAACTCAGAGTTGTGTAAACAAATCCAACTTGCCGTCCACTGATAGATATGGGATGAATTTAATGCCCTTTGAGGACCAAGATCATAAAGGAGAAACAGGATGGGGACGGTTACGTCAGGAGTTTTTGGTAACACAAACTTCTTATCATATACAGCAATACGTCAGTCTTGTAATACCACCGTTCCTATGGTCTAACAGACAGCTGACCCAGGAGGAGCTGCAGACTGCTCGCCTTAGGATTCATGTTGAAGAATAAAAGCAGAGCACTGTTTTTGATATGGGGTCCATAAACCAAGTGAGGAAGGTGCGTGCCATCCTCACAACTTCTCAACGACCATTGTTCTGAAACTAAACTTAAACAAAGCTACCGTGCCTTCCCTGCTTTATGGTCTGTTTGACTCTAAAAGGACCATAGTTTACTAAATGAACATCATGCTGTATTGAAGAAGACTTGAAACTGGAGATTGAGACCATAAACTCATGTTTACAATGTTTACTGAGGTAATAAATCAAGAGAGAAGTAGAGTCATTTTCTCATAGACTTCTATACAACCAGAGGAGTCGCCCCCTGGTGGTCACTAGAGAGAATGCAGCCTTAAGACACTTGCATTGGCGTCACTCGGCAGAGCCGGAGGTTGCCGCCTGGCTATAACATGCAGCACCATCGAGTGATGCAGGGATGACATACAGACAGAAGTGAGCACGTAGTCTCCTTTAGCCACCGTCTGTTTAAGACACGTACAATACAATCTTTAGAATTCACAAGTTTGGTAAATACCTAAGTATTTTATGTTGTGGAACAAAATGCTAAAATCTCTCAAGCTTGTTTTAACACAGATCTTAATTCAGGCATCCAACTTGAAACCCATTGACTTTGAGTGGAACTAAAATGCTGAGTCATTGCTGGCTTCAGGACTCATCAGTGAGGTAGTTTGACTTACATGAAGAGCATAAAACAAGTGGCATGCATCAAAGATAAAACAGTGAAATGTGTGACCAACACATAAATCCCAAAAGAACAACATTGAATAGAAATAGAGAAAAAGTCCTCACCTGTAGGACTTGTCCAACGTCTTCATCACATGACCCCTCTGTGTCCGAGTCTACCCCGTGAAGAAGCTCAGCATCATCACTATCATCACTATCATCTTCATTTGGTATATTGCCTGAAATAAAAACAGCACAATTTACCTCATTAAAAACAGCACCTGCTACTATATCCAGTGACACACACTGTTTACCGTCTCTGTCAATAGCAATGAGAACATTGCATGGATGAACAACTAAATATGACGCATTGTATCAGTATATTAGTCTACAGTCAGACTCTCCACCGCGGCGTGTCAGCACTGAGGCTCCCCTCATCACCGCTCTGCTGTGGGGGAAACGTGCTGTGGCTTGTTTGTATGGTCTGCACAGGATGCAGGAACAAGATAGACTGCGGGGCCGGCAGCCATTGAAGCACATTTATGCCCCTCTGACAAAGTCCACAAATCTGTGGACTACATTTGATACCACTACGCCGGCATGGCATTAACCTCTCGTTTGTTGAGCCTAATGAGTCGCCCAGCTGCACCGATAACCCGATCCACACACAGGTTAAATCCACAGTTTATCACAGTGCAGTGTCTGTGCAGAACAGACCCCAGTAAGTCTGCACCACATCATTTAGATTAGCTGAGAGGTTGTCAGCAGCGTGTCGGTCTGGGTTTAAACCAGTGTATTACAAACTCAGTGTAATGTTAGCACGTGTCAAGTTGAGAGAGCGTGTGTACAGTCTATTAGTCAGTGAATAAATGCTACAACTCAAAGACCCTTGAAGACACCCAGGCCAAGTTCCTGTTGCTGCTGTTGTCAGCCAGCTGATGATTAAAGTGATGGTGATTAGCCCCCAAGTTAACAGCAGCTCCGGCCCACCACCAGCACCCCCTTTACAAACATGTCCACTTTAAGCTAATCCTGTGCACTTCGGGGCAAAAAACATGCAGTCTGTATTTTATGCGTTTCTTTGGGAAGGTACCGTTGATCTGCTTCCATGTCCGCTTCTTGGCGACCGGTTTGCTGATCTTCTCATTTAGTTCCTCGTTGTCGTCGTTCTCCTCAGAAGCTTGTCCCGAGTCGGAGTCTGAGTGCTCAGCTGCTTTCAGCTCCTTCATCAAATCTTCGATAGCGAAAGGGGCCTGGTCAATGATGGTGCTGAGGATGCTGTTGCAGATGGCACTGAAAAGAGACCGACTGGCGACACAGACAGGAAAAGAAGAGGATGGAAGTGGTTAGCACCAGATCTAACATAAAAAAAAAAAACAAGCTGCGTTAGTCAACTTGGACCTTTGAAGTACAGAAGAAATGATTTATATTACATAAACATAAACAACCGTTCAATAGTTTGGAATCTCCTGCCACTGAAGCTTTGATGTTCCAGTCAGATGTCAGAGAGGAGTACTCTGTATTCAGCTTGTGCTTACTGGTGATACGATCGTATATGGGCGACTGGTTTTACATTACAATTCAGAAATCACACCGTAGGCTCAGCTACAGGAGCAACGTTGGGGTTAAGTGTCTTGCTCAAGGACACATCGACGTGCGACTAGCGGAGCCGGGGATCGAACCGCCGATCCTCCGACTGGAGGACGGCCCTGCCCTCCACAGTCGTCCAACACCTTTATTAAGGCGGAGGTAAATAACTTACCATCAGAACTAAGATGTTAAGAGAATAGAACATGCGCCCTGCTGTGCATTAAGAGACGTAGTGTACGTGTGTCTATGGTTCTTTTCTACTATGGCCGATCAGAAACTGCAAAGCCACTTTGAAATTTGACAGGCGCCGCACACTATCCACAAGAACTCCAGCTGCACCATCATCACATACAGAAAACAACATGAAAGACTATCTCCAATGAAATAAAGACTTGGGATACAGACTCCTAACATCCTGTTCTGCAGGGCAGTGGCATTGTCTATTTTTAACTGCTCGGTAACTTCTGTTATTACATTGCACAAGTGCAAGAGAGCATGAGAATAACTGCAGCAGAAGAGGTGAGCCGGTGTGGACTTACTCCTTGGTTTTGGCTGCCGTTTTGCAGAATGGCTCGATGAATATCAAGTTCTGATCAGCAGTGAGCTGTGAAAAGAAAAGAAACGAGGATCATTGTGGCATTATTGCATTTCCTCATAACAAGGAGCTGGAATCAAACTAAACGTACTGTAAGAGTGGAAGTCTCACAACAACTAGAGAGGCAGCATCAGTGGCTAAGAACAGCATCCACAGCCATGCTGGAGGCTCTGAGGCTGGACGCAGGCAGCTTGAATCTACTGTACATATACAGCAGAGGTCATGATGCAATAAAGGATGTCAGCATCACAATGCAACCACTCTCATCTTGTTAAGGATGTAAACAACGTTCATCAGACCACTCAGACCTGGAAACCCTCCAGGGTAACAACACAGCAAACAGCTGTATTCATAACATGGATCTGGTATCACGCTCTAAGGTTCTCAAAAGGCACATGGTAAAAACAGAGAGTCAAAGCATTAGATAAACAAATGAATGAACAGTAAAAAGACACTACATAACTCAACTAGATGATTTTTGAAAATGGTGAGTGAGGAGAATGTCTGAGGTGTTGGGGGAGGGAGCTCCAGAGGGAGGGGCAGCGATGGAGAAGGCCCTGTCCCCCCAGGTCCGATGCTTGGACAGAGTAGGGGGGGTAAGGAGGTTGGCATCGGCGGATCTGAGGTTGCGAGCGTGTCGATGCAGGAGGTCAGAAAGGTATGAAGGGGTTTAGGGTAGTGGAGGGCTTTGTATGTGATGAGGAGAGTCTTGAACTGGATTCTTTGCTGTATGGGAGCCAGTGGAGGTTCTGAAGGACTGGGGTGATTAAGATTAAAGATGAATCGATCCCTCATTAGTCCCGCAGTGGGGAAGTTTGTTCTGTGCATTTGACCCGTCCCTAGTCTTCAGGGAGCAGTAGGCTGCCCCTGAGGAGCAGCGAGAGGTTCAGTGTCTCTGGTGGAGTGGGAGAGCAGACGGGCAGCTGAGTTCTGGATGCTTTGTAGTCCGTTGATGGTTCTGGGGGATGTGCCGTACGTATATTGCAGTAGTTAAGTCTCGAGGTGTGGAGGACATGGATAAGTGTTCCAGAAGATTTAAGAAGCAACCACGCATATTGTTATTTCATGAACTCATCTGATAGGATGTTATATTTACTTCTCTACACTGTTCTTCACGTTATTTCAAACATTCACTTGGAGGCATAAAGTTGTCCATTTGCCATTGCAGTGCTCTTTGAATGGATCTAATTACTCGTGTATAGAGATCTACTAGGAGTTGCTAAGCACATGATTTTTTCAAAACATTAAAGTTACTACAAGGAACTTTCATTTGAAGTTGAATTGGTCCCTGTGGACTAAAGTGGTAGTGTCTCTGAGCACCAGAGTCCCTTTAGAAAACCTCTCATTCTACTGCAGCAGGTCTGACAGTCGGCCTCCTCCTCCCTCCGGAGCTCCGACTGCAGGTCCAAGGCTGCAGTGAAGCCAGATCTGGGTCTGTCACGGTGGACCGGTCTCTGCTGTAGCTGGATTCTGAGCTGAAGGAGTTTCTGGTGAACCTGCATGATGTCATCGGATTCCACCAGAATCCGATCCGGTGGCTCCGATGACAGATATTAAGAACAAACATGTAGAAATAGCCCATCTTCTTGTGATGTTTACTTCTGTAGATCATGTGAGGCATTAGTAGAACGGGCGGAGAGAGCTTTTTACTTCCAGGAACTCAAATGTGTGCCCGTGTTGTGATTTGGCAGCTCAGCTTGTTCTGTCAGAAGCGCTGTGAGTAGGGGAAGGCCGTAGCGGTGTAGAATGTCAGACTGTAATGTGTGCTTTGGTTTGACTGTGTTGCGTGTGTACATGCTGCTCGGTATCAGTGGAACATGCATTTGTGAGAACCCAAAATGACACATACATGGTTGTACGCATTTGTAAATAGTACTTTGTGTTTGTAGAACATCAGCTCTCAATGACACACTTAAACCCCAACAGACAGCGGCGGTGCTGTACCTCTGCTGAACCCACAGCTGCCAGCTCGGTCATGTAAAGGTCCAGGATGTGGAACTGCAACCCGCTGGGCGCCCCGCTGCCGCTCTGCAGGACGTGTGCCGTCAGCAGCTCCAGAAACCTGGTAATCGCACTGAGGAGGTGTGGTACAGAGTTATTGACTCCTGAAGGAGACGACGTGAAGGTGACTCGAAGGTTTTGGAGACTAAGTTTGAGTACATTACCTGCTCTCCCAGTTTGTCCTCTTCAGCATCTCAAAGGTTTGTCTGAACATGAAGCGAACCAGCTGTTAACAAAAGAGAAGAGAAAAGAGTCATTTGGATTATTGAGACGTAAAACATCCAAAATCTCTCAATTATCATAACTTAAAGATTACACAGCTGGCGTCTTTATGGAACTGCGTTGAAGTGCAGCCGTGCCCGGTTAGTTCTGAGGACGTGTACTCTGCTCCTCTTGTAATGCGCGTGTTGATCTTTACTGGTTACTTATTATCAGGTGTTGATACCAGCAGGATATGAGCCTGGCTGCTGGTGGTCGATCACTCAACACACGTGAGCCGCGGATTAACTGCACCTTTTCTTCCAGCTTAATCACAGTGTAAAATACAGTTTTACTGCCGCTCGTATGTTTTCAGGTAATACGTCTTTAAATATCTTTGCAGAGCGTCAGTGAACAGATATAAAGTAGTAGTGGAGCAGGTTAAAAGCATTTGATGGTGAAAGTCACGGCGAGCAGAGGAGCTTCAGAAGCCCCCCGTTCAACGAGAAAGACACACGACAACGGCAAAACATGGGGCATGTCCACACATATGAAGCGCCACCAGCCTGGTCTGTCAGCGACGGGGGCCACGCCACATCAACAACAAGGTATCATCGGGGCATTTAGAAAGCGTCAGAATCAGACCGGGCTAAAGCTATTACAACATCTATTGGGGTCTTTATTGCTGCAGACACGAGGCCACACTCCGGTGTGGAAAACAAAGGATTTCAAAATCTGGTTGAAAAGGTTAAAGTGCTTGAGCCACGCTATGAAATCCCCTCACGCACCACTTCAGTATGAAGATCATTCCTCTATGAAGAGGAAAATACTGACCGCTCACTTCATCACGGAGGAGGTGGAGATTTAAAGTCTGGTGCTGTAGACACGCCCCCTCTGTGAGTCACACAGACACGCCCCCTCTGTGAGAGTCACAGCTACCTTTTCCCCAGATATTCCCCAACTATTCTCATCTTCTTGAAATTAGTTTTTAATCTGGGTTCTGGGTTTTCCAATATGGAGTCTCAGATAGAGACCAGACATGGGAACATGTGAACAGCTCTTGGCAGGACGTGAAATCCACATTGAGCTCATATGAGGAGGAATTGATTTGACAGGTCCGGCTTGTTATCTGCAAAGCGGTGGATACCGGATCAAGTTCTGATGATGCCAACACCAAGTATGACTGTTCTAGTGTCCCGTGAGGGCGACAGTGAGCCTGCATGCACAACACCAAGAAAAATGAAACAGCTAAATGGAATTCAGCCATTAATCATTCTTACACCTGAAACATCAATATGTGTGCTGTGTAGAAGGCCTGTAGCAATAACCAATGCAAAGCGAACTATAGAACTTAATATGATTCCGACTAAGGAACGGTATCGTGAGGAATTCATACTTATTGTTAGAATTGTAATGCTTCAATTAAGTACTCATATCTGTCCTAGCAAGTACTCAATTGTAAGTACTTGTTTTGAAATAAAATAGTGTCATCGGTGCAACTCTACCAAGTTCTGATAACAGTGATTAATAATCAGCTTTATGGCTCACTGATCGACGAGTTCTAAACCAGCATTCTCTCCACACTAACCTGGAAGAACTTATCCATGCGCAGCCTGTCGATACCAGTCCACTCTCTCCTGAAGGTCTGCAGGAAGCTCTCCAGGTACAACAGCTCTGCAGGAAACGGCACATCATCATCATCATCATCATCATGAAAGTACAGCACCGGGTTGCATCAGCTATGTTGAAGCTCAGAAGTAGCCTTGTTTGAACGTAATTACTAACTAAAGTGGGAGTTTAAGTGCTCCTAACATTTAAATGTGTGTAACAACATACTACAGGCTAGGCGTAAGACAACGTGCATCTGGCACTATGACTTTGCTACTAAATCATTTCAGCACTCTGTCAACATGCACAATAAAGTGCACAACATGTAAAACAACACGTACTGTATATCCTCTGTGCCACAGTCACAAGCAAACATCTGGTTAGATAACTTCCTCATTAACAAATACTACTTTAATCATTTTACCGGTGTAAATTATCATGATTTCTGTTATAACATAATAATTTCATCTGGCCATTAATAGTGTAACGTTACCGTTATAATACCCTGTGTTCGCACAACCTGTTGATCATAACGCTTTGCTCTACTTCATCTTCCCTTTGGTTGATGTTTGGCGATTAACAATAACTATTTTAGACTAGAACCTCTTCTCTAAACTGCAGCATAAAGAGTGCTTTTCACTGATTGGCCACAGAAAGTAAAAACGTTACTTTGGCAACAATATTTTGGTAAGAGTGGACTTAATGCCAGAGTCACAAAGAAAGATCTTCCTCTCCTTGGTGCAACCAAATATCGACACAGCTCTGGTATCAACCCAACTCGTTGAGCGTGGAACCTACACCCTGACTGAAGAGAGAGCTCGTGTGCAGCTGGTGCAACAGGCTGCAGAGCTTTTCTTATGTGCCTCAAATCGAATCCTACCACATTATGAAATCAGGCGTGGGCAACTTACGTCCGTCAATATCATGGAAGCTGTGGATGAGGGTAGAGATCTGGTTGGACAGCTCCTCCTAAAGAAGAAACGTGAAGACTGCATGAACAGAGACATTGAATCAGGCAGCAGAGGGGCGACTGACTGAACACGGTTATAATCACAGTTTTGGATTTATGACAGACAATTTTAAATATCTCTGATTTGGACTCAGAGTAGGTTTTCATTCTTCATCAAGATGCCGTCACTACAACTCTGAGGTCAGTGTTTCCCATTAATTACCTCGACTGCAGCAGCTCGACAGCTTCATAATGAACCAAAGATATTCTGACCCTTCTGAGGCTGGCTGGACCTCACGGGCACATTCTCTACACGTTTAAAGAGGCTGGCGGCTCAGTCCGTGACCTCTACAGCAACCAGCGGCCCAACCTTTCGTTCCCGGGGACTTAACCCACCCGGGAGGGAGGGCACCACTGTCAATGTAATCTCAGTTGTTTATAGATGTTTTTACAACATAAATAGATATCAGAGAGGGATGTATGACAGATTATAATACATCATTAAAACTACCAATGACAAGATTTGTTTCAATCCATAAAAATACAATCTTTTATTTCCTTATCATTTGAATTTAGTTTTTTTATTTAAAGAAAAAAAACACATAATAAATGATCATTACAAAGTAAAAGGACAACATTTTGAATGATTTTTGGGACAGTCTGGAGACCTTGTAGACCAGCTGCAATAATCAAACAATAACATGGATCATCAATGATCCTCAATTAGTAAATTATATTTGCTCCCTTTTTTTCCTTTTGTGCTGATCCGATCTTTGATCCGAGCCGCGCGTTGTATAATCCGTTGCACCACTAGCTTTAACACTTTAACACTACTTTCATACACTGATGGCAAGGTGCCACCTGCACACCAGGACTCTGACTAACTAACTTAAGTGTATTGCCCACTTTGACATGGACAAGCGGCGCCGGGGATCGAAGCACCGTTCCTCCGATTGGACGACCGTGCTCTACCGCTGAGCCACAGTGGACTAATTGTGTGCCTGAAAAGGGATGAAATGCACCGTGTGTATTCACAGCAGCTCCCATTCCCATGATACGAGTGTGCAAGCCATGCACACAGACAGTAGCACAGCATACCTGGAGCAGTGGTTTGTCCTGCATCCACAGACAGTAGAACAGACCCTTCCACAGCTTGAGCAGCTCATCACCTGTGAATCCACCTACACAAGAGGACACAAGACTGTGTGAGACATGTCCCGAGTCCAGGACTACACTGCATACAAATACAGCAGCGGCCATTTTTTAAAGACATTTTATGGACTAGACAACTACAACGTATTTTGACAGTGGACAAAATCTTCCGTTACAGATCTGCAGAACTTTTTATGTAACCATAAAATAATATTATTTTGCAACAAATACTGTAACAAGGTTACTGTTCTGGTTATTGTGGCGACAATGCAAATTACGCTCAACTGTTACATTAGCTAGTTAACTTAACTAGTTACACACAAACTGCCTTTCACCTCACAGCTACACGTGTTCACCAAGTGTTGCTACCAACACCACACGTGCATCAGACTGGGACCAATTCCCTTTCAACCAGTTATGGTTTGAACCAACCAGTCGCTGTTAACAATACATGTTTCGTTAACGTGCTACCCAATTCAAGTTATTACTAGCGTTTGAGCTGATGCTAGCCAGCTGTGACAGAGCTAACTAGCTGCGTAGCGCGGACAGTCTACGTTACCTGTCGCGATGTGGGACCTGACATTAATGTATTTCCTCAGCTTCTTCACAGCCTTGGTCCGGATGGGCTTCTCGTTGGAAGCTAGTCTCTGAGCGAGCTGGACCTCTGGCTCTTGAATCGACGCCATGTTCACACCGATTCACGTGGGGACTCTTCACTCGCGCCCTCTTCGTCCCACGTTTCCACGATACGGCGCGGCCTGATGACGTCCCAGGGACAGCATCTTCTTCTTCTTCTTCTTCTTCTTCTTCTTCTTCTTTTTCAGTTCGATGGCTGGTGGCAACCAGCGTTAAGGTGCATTACCACCACCTACCATGTTGGCGTGTGTACCAGAGTTATGTTTTACAAAGAAACAAAAACACACTGAGGACACGCTACATTCTCTTGACCAGCCCAAATGCCAAACACAAATTAATGAAACCATTCTTTTAAATTAAATGTTCAAAATATGTATTAAATACACGCTTAAAATGTTACAAATAAATAAACAAATAGATGCACTTTTTTTTATGTCGAAAACAGTAGGCCTACAAATATTCCTGCACTAGGCACAGTAGCTGCAATAAAAAAACACCTAGACCTCGTCACCCTTTATATGATGTACTGAGCATGGCCCTGTTCAAGATGAATACATGTACTCTTCCACATGCCACGTTTAGTTCATCAATTTCTGTAAGTTGATGGGGCTTTACAAGCTAAGATACCTCTCCTTGCCGTGGCTGTTAATACTTGACATGCTATCATAGCTATAGCCTACATGCATACATACAGTGCATGAGCTCAATTTATGGCAGCTCCACAAGGATAGGCACACCCCCAATAATTATACATGTACATGATCAGTGTGCAGAGACGGAAAACCAGCCTCATTAGAAGGTTTTGACTAAGATCATATGTAGCCTAAATCTATTAGGAAAAAAAGGAAAAGTGATGAAAAACTGCAGAATATTTGACTATTAAACTGCAAACACAGTCCTGCAAAGAAGTGATCGCTGTTTGTATAGACATCCCTTAGCTGATGCTCTGACCTCAGTAGAGTATAGTGACTTCAGATGTACCCATGTCAGTCTTTCCAAGGTTCTTCAGTATGTCCAATATCAATAAAACAGCATGAAGAGCAAAATTGTGAAAACTTACATTTGTAGACTATGTGATATTATCTCCACCAACAGACAGGGCTACCATGCAAGGTGCCACCTGCCCATCAGGACTAACTAATATTCATACAACAAAGGCACAGCCTGTGGGAGCAATTTGTGGTTAAGTGTCTTGCCGGAGCCGGGGATCAAGCCACCAATCCTCTGATTGAAGTTGCACTGAGGCACAGATCCAATTGTCTGCGTATTGGAGCTTTTATAACATAAGTATCTGGGGGTATGTAACATTTTTTAATCATTCAGGCCTATTGTTAGAAACTTAAGTTTACACTTGCATTAGTATTACTTGGTACGCAGTAATGATCTGTACAAGAAGACTGTAACCAACTAAGTTGTGTGGTACAAAACTAGTACAAAGCCATTAAATTACATAATGAATATAGTAGTATGATAATAGTATGATAGTAGTATGATAGTAGTATACCAGTAGAGTGATAGTAGTATGATAGTAGTATGATAGTAGTGTGACAGTAGTATGATAGTAGAGTGATAGTAGTATGATAGTAGTATGATAGTAGTGTGATAGTAGTATGATAGTACTGTGATAGTAGTATGATAGTAGTGTGATAGTAGTGTGATAGTAGTATGATAGTAGTGTGA